TAATTTAACTCTGGGCCAGGGCTGCTGAGTGGGCCACAGGGCTCCTCCTCCCAGATGCCCAGCTGGGACTCCCCACCAGGTCAGAGCACAGGACATCTTGCCCCCTGCTTCCCCATCTGCTGCAGCAACACCATCTGGACCCAGAGGGGGTTGCCGGCCCAGGGCTCTCAGCATAGGCCATGTGCCCGGAAGCTGGTCACCTGCTGGCCTTGGCCCTCCAGTGGGAAGCTGGGAGTACCCAGCTGCGCTCCCACTGTAGGCCTGGCTCCAGGGTCGGGAGAAGCAAGGGCTGCTGACAGGGTGGCAGGGAGTGAGGGAGAAGCCGACCACAGTGACCCAGGCCCCACTGCAGCTTTTCAGAGGTCTCAGGGTAGTTTGGGAACCCTGGCTGGGAGAAGCTTGCTCTCAGCACCATTCAGCGCCCTCCCTGAGTTTCTGGGATCAGCGTCTCTCTAGCCGGCCTTCAATCCCTGCCTCTCCTGTGAGGCCAGGGACAGACAGGGAGGGTTCTCCTGCACTCAGCAAACATTGCAAAAGAGTCAGGAAGGGTGAGGGAAGATGGTAGAGGACAAGGTGAGGGTCAGCCCTGAGCCACAGAGTCCACAGAAACTCCATGGGCTCCCTATTTCAGCCTCTGGTCCAGAGGAGACACACCCTCTGCAGTGTCCCCGGTGGGAGGGAGGGGATGAGCCTTTCTTAGAACTTCCTGTGACAGAGATCCCCCTCCTCGAGGCATTGCCCCACTGTGGGGCAGCTCAGGAGTTAGGAAGTTGTATTCTGAGCTGGACTCTGTCTTTTGTGACTCCCTCCTGCCTGGGCCTGGCCTCAGGATGCTCCAACTCTGTACTCTTCAGAGGCGAACACACCAAGAAGCTGTGGTGCTCCATCCGTCAACTGGGCAGGTGGGTGGGAAGCATAAATGGAAAGATGGATGATGGGATGGATGACGGGAGGCAGGGAGGGAGGGAGAGAGGGATGCAGGGAGAGAGCAAGGGAGGTGGGACTGATGGCAGGAGGGACGGTTGGAGGACGGAGGGATGGAACATCTCTGAGAACGCATGGAGTTCCTGGGTTAAGCCTCTGGTTCCTCGTATTGCCTACAGGCAGAGCACACACGCCTGAGGCGTCCATTCTGGCTCATCTCACATCAGGAAGAGGGTCACTCTTCCTGACAGGGTGTCACCAGGAAAGATGGCGACATGGCGCTGGGTTGGGGAGGGTGGCAGGGAGGAGGGCAGGGGGGCACCTACATGGAGAAGTTGGTGATGAAGGCTCTCTTGGGCAGCTCCACCTGGAATGTAGCCTCCTGCATGATATCGGCCCTGTTGACCACCCTGCTGGTGATGACTGTGTGGGCAAATCTGGATGAGACCTTGGAGTCCACGGTGAGGCTGTAGACATCGATGTCATTCTGCACCAGCGAAGGGGAGGGGTGGGATGCTTTCTATGCCACTCCAGCTTGAGACAACACTCGTGGAGGGGGCCCTGCCCTTGGTCCCCAACCCCGACTGAACCACTGGCCACGCCTCTGGCCAAACCCCAGGAGGCATTGCACATGTGAACACCGGCCTCATGGCAGAGGGAGCTGTGTGCCCTGTCCCTCACCCTTCAGGGCTGTGTTGCTGGAGCCTGAGCCCCAGTGTGTCTGGGAGGTGACTCTCACTTCCTCCTCGGGGAGGGGACCCTAGCGGGGTCAGGCAGCTTCACATTTGATCTTAGCTCTGCCCATGAAAGAGTAATGAACAAGTTCTGTGATATCTGGTGACCTCAGCCTCCATGGAAACTGGGAAACGCAGCTCTTGCCTGTCTCCCACCAGGTGCTTATAGAAGCTGGGAGGGCTTGGAGGAGACGAGGACCCAGTCTCTAACCCCTAGGAGCCTTCCTCTTTGCTCCCTTCACCCTGCAGCCCTGGACCCTCCCTGGGCCCACACTCTTCCCCTCCAGGTCTGCAGTTCCCCAGGAAGGACCTGGGCACACCTGCGGCCTTGCACACCTGCTCTCTGCACATGGAGTGTTCAGGTGCACGCGTGGCTTAGCACCGAGGCACGTGACTGGCTGGGTAGCTTGTAGGGTGTCCGCTCGGTGGCAGGCCCTGTACAGAGTTCTTTCTGGATATTACAGGTCTGATCTTCACAACAAAGCTCTGAATAGCTTTTCTTTTTACCATTTTACAGATGAGGAAACAGACACAGAGAGCATAAATAACTCCTTCGCGGCCACTCAGCCAGGTAGAGGGAGAGCGGGGCTCATGAAGCCCGTTCTCACCCACCGCGCGCACTGCCCCAGCAGTAGCTGGCTGGGCTACAGCGCCTCCTTGCAAAATGGAAATAGGGTCTCCCTGCTGTTCAACGGGAGAGCAGCCATACAGCCCTAGGTTAGTGCCTGGGGATGGTCGGCACCACATCTTTGCACACACTCGATCCACGCTCCCTTGTCCACACATGCTTGCACACGCGGAGGCTCTCCTTGTTCATCAGCCCACAGCACTCGTGCTCTGGCACCCAGACACCCATTACCTTTTGAGCGGTGGTCGTGCAGAGGGCAGCCAGCAGCGAGAGCAGCACCAGTGCGATGCCACGGGTGCAGCCGGGGCCCGAAGTCTTCATTTTGGCTCTGGTGCCTGGCAGGTGGCTTCTGAACTTGAGAGGATGTGGGGAGTGAATTAGTAATATGCTCGCTGTCCCGCCCCTCTGGGGGCGGCTTCTGGGAAGTTGGGATCTCCAAGCCAAAAACGGCAGTAGCCTCGGCTAAGCAAACTGAATGTCCCGTGGACCTTGGCTGGGGACAGGAACACGTACCAAGGAGAGGTAGGCTCAGGTGGGAACTGGGTATGGCACTCCTTCTGAAAGATACAGAATCATCCCAGGCCACTACCAAACCCTCGCACCAACCCTTTCACCAGCAGGCTTCCTAGATCTGGGAGATAAAACAATGAACCAGCCTGCTCTCCATATGCCCAGCCTGGGAGAAACGGATGGGCCAGAATGGGGGGGGCTAGGGAATGGCTCCCCAGAGGAAGGCAGCCTGGAGGTCAGCTCCATGTGACTGGGCAGTGCGGGGGCCCTTAAGGTACTGAGAAGGCACTGGGGTGTCTGACCGGGGGCAAGATCTGCTGGGGCCAGGGCAGGACGGAGACCTCTCGTTTCTGGGGTGAGAGGGGCTGAGCCCAGGAGTCCCCTTCTCTGCCCTTAGGTCCCAGGCTGCTGTCGGGCCCCATTAATCTACCTAGGGCTCTTGGTTCAACTCCAGCAAGGCCCTCAGAATGAGATCCACACTTTGCCAATACAAATTGAGAGCCATAAATACTCCTGCACTTTGTGGCCCAGAGGTCTCCCTCCAGGGAATTTATTGAGAGGAAAGCAAGGAACAGACCCCTTGCGGGGCAGCCGTAGGGGGTCAGTCATGCCGAGGGAGCCCACAGGTCACAGCTTGCGTGAGAATGCCGAGCCATCCGCACACCCAGGCGGTGCCGCTGTCCTGAGCCCAGACCCGTGGGAGTGTACCGGAGGGCCTGGGGTAGGATTACCGGTAACTTTTTCAATTATCCTTTAATAAACTTGAAATGCTTTTGTAACGAATAGCAATGAAGTGAATAAATATTGAGTGTCGGGATACAGCTGGTGCTGGTGTCCCTGGTGGTTCTGGGAAAGCCCAGCTCCTGAGTCTGGCCACGGGTCAGGCTGGTTGCTTCAGCAGTACGGCCAGGTGCCAAACCCTGGGTTGGGGGAGGAGGACGGCTTGGTGACACTGGTTGGGGTGCGGGGGTGGGGTGGAGTGGAGCAGCCATGCTGGGGCCCACACAAGGTTCTGAGGTGGTGACCGGCTTCCAGGGGGTCCCCTCGACCAGGGCCGGCAGCATCCAGCCCTGGAGAAAGGGCAGTAGGGACTCCAGCGCTGTGTCTTGGGCTGCTTCCCCTTCCTTAGCACACCTGCAGCCTCTCTGTGCACATCTGTGCTGCTGGCCCTTCGGCTCTGAATATGGCTGGGGTCATATGGGGCTTCACACCCCTCTGGCAATCTGAAAGGAGCCTCCCCAAGGAGCACAGTGGGCAGGCCCAGGCCCTGTCTCCCAGGAGGTCTGCTCCTTGGGGCACACAGCACAGGCCCAGCCTAGAAACAGCTATTTAAGGAGGCTGGGCTGGCTGGGAACGTGGGAAAGGCTCTGAGCAGCCAGCCGGACCTGCCCAGGGGACCGGCTGGCTTCCCTGCAGGCAGCAGCCTGGAGTCAGGTGCCTCAAGGCCCGGCTCTGCCGGTCCAGCCCGGGGCTGCCCGTGGTTTTGCCGTCACGGAGGATGGGCCTCAGCAGTCCCCGGATCTGACAGCTCTGTGCACACAGGGGACACTGAGGCCCTGTGAGCCAAGGGCCTGGAATTCCCATGTTGTAGGCAGAGCTGTGGGAGTGGCAATGTGGAGGCTCACCCCGAGTGTGGGAGAATAGCTCAGGAGGTGGACGACCACTGGCCAGAGAGGGGCCTCGATCTGGCTTTGCCTTTGAGAGGTATGAGCTGGCAAGGGGGCAGTGCAAACAGGGGTGCCGGGGGAAGGGGCTTTGAGGTCCCTGGTCCAGCAGAGCCTTGGAGTCCTTGGAAGTATCTCAATGGTTTCTGTGGAAGGCAAGGGGAAGGGGTAAGCCTTGGGCCCCCGCCTGCTTCATTCACTCCAAGCAGTGCTCCTGTGGTCCTTGTCAGACAGGAGGGGAAACCGAGGCTCAGAAAGGGAGAGGCTGGTTTGAAGTCACACGGGAGCTCAGCACCAGGTCTCCACTCCAAGGCTTTTTCTAGTGTGTGGCAGTAGCCATAGTAGCACCTGCCTTATCCTCTGGAACCTCCCAAAAGCCCATGAAGGGTACAGAACATGCCCCCACCCTAACCCGCCTGCCCCTCCCCTACACTTGGTGGCCGTGGCCAGTGACCAACTATCAGCCTCCAAATGCTGGGGCCACGTGGGCATGCGCTTTATTGGTGCTCCCTGGGCACTGGTGCAGAGTGGCTGGCTCCCTGGGCCGCGGGGTCAGCGCTGTGAGGGGCAGGTGGCCATCCCACAGGCAGCAGGTGAGAAGGTGCATTCTGGCATAAAAAGGTTTTGGGAAAATTCTCCTGTGTGGGGAGTTGGCAGCAGTGAGAGGAATGGTGCACACGTCTTAGCCGAAGACACTCTTGGCAGGTCCGGCTTTGGGCTTCTCGAAGACGGTCTCGGTGCCGGTTCGGCTGCCACTGAATACGGACGGGGCGGTGGAGCCGGCTAGTTCTGTGGGGGGGGGGGGGGGGGGGAGGGGGGGGGGGGGGGGGGACATGGGGGGGGGGGGTGCCCCCCCGAGTTCAGGAAACGACCCTGGGACCCCTCACCCCATCCCTCCCCTCCACTGACAGCCATCCATGCCCCCCACCCCCATGGCCCGGGAGGACACTCACCACACTCCCGCATGACCTGGTAGGTCTTGGACTTGATCTCCTGGTTCTTGGCTAGGTTCCCACGGGCCCCCTTCAGATCTTCCTCCTTCACCGGGGGGCGCTTCTTCTTGATGGGGGTCTCCTGTGCACCAGCCTTGGAGAAGCCAGAGTCTTACACCCCCAGGCCTTGAGGCTGAAAGCCCCTTCCCACCTCTGTGCCTTGGCCCTGAGATGCCTCTTCACTGGTCACCTGGTCACCGAGCTCAAGCCAGTTGAAGGCTCCAGTCCTCTTGCGGGCAGCCTTTCCAGCTGTACTCCACCCCCACCCCAAGTGTGTCCTTCTCCCACAGACTGGGAGCTTGAGGACTGTGGGTGCTGTGGCCTCACACTGTCCGCCTGCCTGGACAGGTGCTCAGGCCTGGACACAAAGGGCCAATGGGAAAGGCACTGGTTTCCAGGTGGAGTTTCAAGGGGTGAATTCTAAGACCTGCTCACTGGGTGCAAGGGCTCTCTTAGGGATTGCCTTCCTCTCCCCCTAACTACCTGCCTTTACCTTGAGAGTTCTGAGGGTGCGAATAGAGAATCAGATGCCCATGAGGGCAGTCTGAAGTGAGTCCCTACCCATGGAGCAAGCAGCAAGGAGGACCCTCCACTTAGCCTGCCACTCCGTCCCTCCAGTACTAGGGATATTAAGACTGTGCTTATCCTGTCAACCCCAGGCGCCCACAAGTCTGACACCTCACTCCTTTCTAAGCCCCGGGGACAGGTGCAGGGAATCCCTGGTCCCTGAGTCTGGGCTGGGCTCCTGGGGCAACACGCTGCCCCCCTTACCCCCCCATGCAGAGATCAGTCCTACTGGGGAGATGCCCGGACAGAATTGTGTGCCTACGGATCCAGCGTCACGTGTATGCACACACACACACACACACACACACACACACACGGCTACGGACGAGTCATGCAGTCAGCTTCTTCACACACAAAAGCATACACAGAGACCTGAAGTATCCTACGTGTCGTCTCTACCCTCTGGGCCAACCAGGCAGTATCACCGAACCCGAGATAAATAGGGGTTTGTCGGCAAGCTGGGGTCCGGGGTTGCCCTCGCTGGGCCTTGGCCTTTCAGGGGCTGCGGAGATTCCTGTTTACACCTGGATTCAGCTCAGGACACATCTGTCAGAGAGGACAGCGTCCAGGTTCCCAGCCCTGCCCCTGCCTGGACACCAGCACAGCCTGTGCCGGGCCCTCCTACCTGGGACATGGTGCGTCCTGTGTGAGAGCTGCTGCAAAGGTGCTCGTCCGGCAGAGGCAGAAACCACTGGAAGATGGGAGCTGCACCAGCCCTCTGGGGCTTATATATAGTTCCCGGGCCTGTCCAGGAAAGCCACTCCCCTCCTCAATGGGCTTCCCGATGATTCAGGTCCACGCAGCCTCTAGCTTCAGAGTTTATTCTTGGAGATGAGAGGGGCTGGCTGGGCACTGCTGCCTGGGGGCTGCGGCCCTGGTGAGAGCAGGTGGCTGGGGAGACCCTGTGCCCTTGGGAACAGCTGCTCTACGCCGGCAGGAGGGGCCGGGCCTGGCAGTGAGCAACAGGGGTATCGATGAACCCAGATCTTGGAACGTGTAAGCCGTCCGCCTGGGACCATCCATCCCCATGCACTGGGCGTCCCCAAGGGAAGTGAGGGCCCTGCGCCAGGCTGGGCCGCTCTGAGCTTGTTTTTCCTTCAATTCCACCCCTCCCTGGATTCCAGAGGAGGGAGACTTGCCATCCCTGGCCAGCAGGGCAGAAGCGTCCCGTGTCTGACACCCGGGAGCGTGTGCTCTTGGCACGCACAGCCCCCCATGGTTCACGGGGGAGCAGCTGTGGCTGAGGAGAGCCTGGGGAGCTGCTCCGTCTGTTTGCTGTAGTTCCTGTCCTCTGTCTGGCTCCCAGGGTAGGTTCCGCAAAGGGACTGAGCAGGGGGCAAGCGCCCTGGAAGGACCAGGAACAAATCCGTTTTTTGGTCAGGGCACTGGTGAGCGCAGGCAAAAAAGACACAGAGCCTCTGACCGTATGAGGTCACCCAAAGGTGCCTGGCCTGAGGACATTCAGGTTGCTGAAAGAGGGTGGGTGACATCCGAGCCCATTCCAGGCTCTGAGCTGTGGAGAGAGGGATGAGTCCAAGGTGTCCCCTGATGGTCACTTGGCTGCCAGTTCCTCATTGCCCATCCTTGGAGGGGAGACCCTCGTGGTGCAGGACAGGACTCTCCACCTGGGGTGAGCGTGGAGTAGAGGGGGTGGGGGGTGCCAGCCACCCCTGAGCTCCTTGTCAGTTTGTGATGGGAGATTATTTTTGTCTTTGGAGGCTTCAAGCAGACGGAACCCCACCGGGCACTGACATTTGGTTATCCTGAATGCCACTCCACTGCGGTAATATCTCCAATCCCACTCTAAGCTCCAGCAGGCCAGTGTGAGGACTGCCAGCTCCATCTGAGACAAGTGCTGACACGAGGAATGCCTTCTGCCAGCCAGGGCCACGGACCCAGGCCTGCGAACAAGGCCACGCGGAGCCGAGGGCAAGCCTGGCCTGGGAGGGCTTTGGCACCGCCCCCACGGTGGGCTCTGTACAGGGAGGCACCTGCCTTCCAGCCCTGCAGCTCCAGGGACAAGGATGTGGGCTGTTCACTGCTCACAGCTCATCCCCACAGCACCACTTGCTCCTCAGGGGGAGGTTAAGTTCCTTTTACTGGCATTAGTGGGGACTTGGGAAAGGCTAGAGTATGTTTGGCTTTGTCCTATGGCAGATTCTGGCTCCTGTGTCTGTCACCAGGTGATGTAGTTCATTCACACTTGGTTTCCTGGGGCGAGTTGTCGTTGTCCTTGTCTTCTTTTTAAAGATTATTTTATTTTACTTATTTGAGACCGGGAGAGAGAAAGCACGAGTGGGAGGAGGCAGAGGGGGGAACGAGACTCCCTCCTTAGCACGGAGCCCAACGCAGGGCTTGATCCCAATTCCAAGACCCCAAAATCACAACCTGAGCCGAAGGCAGAAGCTTAACCAACTGAGCCACCCGGGCACCCCTGGGGACAGTCTTTTAACTCACTGGGGAAATTTTCTTGACCCCACTAAGCTGTTTCAACTCCAAAGACCATACAACCAACAACCACAAGTGATGGTTTCTTTAAAAACAAAAACAAAAACAAAAAAACTGTATTAAGATGTGAAACTTTATTGTAAACCATTTTACAATGTAAGTACATCATCTTCCCTTTCATTTCAAAAATGTGTTTCTGTGAATCTTAACACCACTGCTGAAACACCCCCACCGGAAGGGCAGTGGAAATAGGCCATGGTTTGCTCACACAGTTCTGAGTTCTAATAAACATCATGAGAAAGAGAGACCAAATGAGACAGCTCACCCCCCCAGCCAGGAGCTCAAGGTACTGACGGCCATCGGACCGGAAGTCCCTCGCAGAGAGCAAAGTCCTTCAGAGCTGCCAGTGCTTCACAGGGGAGAACAGAGAGGTCTCCTCTCCCGGTCAGAAGTGTGTGCGACTTCTAAAAGCCAACTCTACAAGGTGGCTGCTTTGGCCAATGAGAAGTTCCAGAGCGTCTATGTTGGCCTGCTGCAAAAAGACCAGCATGTTGCTCTCTGGAGGGCAGAGTGGGCTCCTGGGCAGCCTTCCGATGGGGACTCTGGGCTGCAGCCTACAGGACTAGACTGCCTAGAATCTGAGCCCTTCTAGGTTTCCCTTTAAAGGCATGAGTGGTCAACATTCGCCTAGGACTTGCAGTTGCTAGGAAGGGGCATGAGTTAGAGCTTAGGCAGGAGGCCACCAGTGTGCCTGAGCGCTAACTGATGGGCCACAGGCCTCTACCTTGAAGGTCTTCTGAGCAGACCTAGAAGCCACTGCCGCCCAAGATCTCACCAACATCCCCCCCTTGCCACTGTCAACATCCCACTGACAGCGAAAGGAAATAAGGCCAACAACGATTCCTTCCATTCAGACGTGATAGTTTCTATCTCACCAGGTTATTTCCATTAGGTACGAGAAACTCGTTCATGACCCTGACTTACAAGCTTCCATCAGGGGTGCCTTGGCCAAGGTCCACATCTGCACTGATCAGACAGATGGCACACAGTATCCGGTTGGCGTCCCGTGGTTTCTCAAGCACTGACACTTGCCCTGTGGCTGGGTAAAGAGCTGTACTGAGTAAGGCACCTCGGGGCAGGTGGTAAGGAGGCTCATCCCAGAGAAGGACAGCTCAGGAGAACGTTCTGACCATGGCCCTCTGCATCTGGTCTCTTGCGACAATGCAACACAGAAAAACTCCCAGTGATTGCAGGAAACACTCCAGGGAATACAAACTCTGTGTGTATATGCGTGTGCCTGCGCATACACACACACACACACACACACACACACACACACAGCACAAGAGAAGGGACAGCTAAACCAGCGAGGCCACGCTGTCCGGTCCCACACACCACATGGCTTTCTATGATTAGAGACCCATCCCCTGGTCAGCTCTATGACAGTGGCTCAGAGACTAAAGCCCTTACTGAAATTCAGGATCCAAGGGAAAACCAGCCCTCACTAGCCACCACTTTGCTCCCCAAACCCCTGCCCTGCAGGCACTGGGACAGGCCTTGAGATGAGCAGATTGTCTGAGGCCTGTACAAAGCCTACTTTCCACCTTCCAGAGGCTGTGGGTTCCCCCACCACTGTGCCTGGAGCTCAAGACTGAAAGCACTGCTGACTCGGAGCTCAGGAAGGTACGGGGACAGCGGCGGGCACAGGCTGTTCATACAAAATGAGACGGGGGAAAAGGTAGGGAGAGCCAGCAACGCCACGAGGGGCTGACACGTAGCAGGCACAGTGTCCGTTCTGGCCTTCCCCAGCACCTATTCTCCAGGAGGGACAGTCCACTATGGCTGGGGGTGGGCGGGGTGAAGAGCCTAAGTGAGGGCATAAGCAGTCATGGCCTCTCGTCTGACACGCCGCCTTGTCTCCCGCTGCAGACACCTACACTCACAGAGCGGCCACCCAGGGCCACGACAGGGCCCAATCCCTTTCAGGTCTCTGGTTCCTGGGGGAAGGCAGGCCCAGAGCACAGTGGCCTGGCTCCCACACCACAATTCAGACCCAATCTACTTAAGGGCGGCACATTTGTGCGTAGGTCTAAAAGGAAGGTTCTGGGCCAGGTGGCCTCCCTGTACTTGCCTCCCTTCTAGCTTGCACCTTAGTGGTGCAGTTTTCCATTCCTCAACTTCTGTGGCTGCCTCAGGGCCACGATGGAACACTGGCTGCCCCACCGTGCTGCTCCCACAGCAGGGCGAGTACTCAGGCCGACCTGGACCACTGTGGTCAGCACCCTTCCAGAGCTGTGGAGGCCTGTGGCCATGCTGAGGAGTGAGGGCCACTCCCCAGGGAGGGGACCTGGGCCTCAAAGCATCCACCCTGCCTGCGGACGCGGACAGTGAGCTCCCACACATCGACCCGCCCCCTCTCCAGCTGCCCTGCTGCTCCGAGGCCATGAGAAACAAGATCACTGGCTCAGGCAGGCGTTCCTCAGACCGTTGTGCTCAACAGGGGGACAACACCAAGAATGACAGACATAGGGCAGCCTGAGAGGAGGTTACTAGGGCTGGTCCAGCAGCTGGTTGCAAAGGCTCCACCTCGCACTGGGAGGCAAGGAGGCTCAGACTGAATTTTAAACTTCAGCTGTGGAGACTGAAGAGAGGCAGGGAACTCACAGGGGTGGCCTCTATGGTTTCAGTTCTCTGGACACAGACCTCTAGGCTCTTCTCTTGGTCACGTTTAACTCAGACCTCTAACCTGCCAGCAGAAGGCCAAGCGGCTGGACCCACTTGTCCCCGGAGAGGCCTTTACAGACCCACTGGTTTCATTCCTTTCAGACAAGGGCTCCTCTCCCTTCCTGCTGGGACCACTGACCTCACCTCATCTCAGATTACCTAAAAATATCCCAAATAAAAAAACTCCCAACTTTTTCTTCCCACTAGTTCACATCCCATGAAAGGCAGACAAACCCATTTCTTTGGGGGATTAAAAAGAGTTTTTAAATACAATAGTATGAAAATATAACTTAAAAATATAAAAGTCAACAGCATACGGAAGACTTAAAAATCTATGTTTTTGCCCATTAGTCCCGTAGGAAATAAACACATACTCAAAAAACATTAACACTGTGACAGCTCATAAAACCGGCTTTAGAAATCAGTAGTTACAAAGCCATTTGGAGTAAGAAAGCATTGCGGTTCCAGCTTGGTCAATGAGTGACTTTTAGCCCAAAATGTGTTACATCCTCACGCTCCCCGAGCCTTGGGGAAAGGCTCTACCCAGTCTATGTGTGCGTCAGTTTTCCTCTTCAATGCCACCCAGCCAGACACAGGACGGGGCTTCTGGGTCCCTCGCAACACCGTCTGGGACAATGACAGACACACAGAACGCCTCACTTGCATATTTGGTCAGTGTTTGTAGTGCAACTGAGTGGGGACCTCCGGCTGCCTGGAGCCCCTCAGCGCTGGCCCGGCCTCCCTTTGGCAAGTCACAGCAGTCTGGGAGCGGGCGGAGACAGCGAGAGGAGTGGAGGTAGAAGAGGAGGGGCAGAGAGGAGGGAAGGAAAGACACTGCGCAGTGACCACCTGCTGACCCGA